AGACACTATGTATGTCTCTTAGAGATTTCTTATTTCCTGGGACTCCAGGAAATCAATTAAATAATAGTTTAATTATAGTCTCATATTATGATCCATGCATGGAGGCCTTGGTATGTATTTTGGTTGTATCACAGACCCATCTTCTTTTCTGTTGGTGAAATCCCATGGATGTCTCAATGACACCAAGATCCACGGTTACTATAGACAAAATACAGAGAATTTAGGAAGGACACTGATGTATGTTCATAAAAGCTGGGACTTTAGTGTCTGACACACTAATTTCAATAACATGTCTATGCCTCTGACCTACGTAGTCCAAGGAGACAAAGGGCTAAACAACAAAGAAACTCAAGGCCAATGGTGGGTAAGTTCCTGATGGGTTTGGGTATCCTGGTTAGCTCTGTTCAGGTTGTTATAAGAGCACAGGGCAGAGAAATCAACCCATCAAGGTTCCAGGGAATCTTCTTGGAGGAAAGGACTTGTAAAACAGCACACAAATAAATTACTTAGAGAGGAAAGGTGATCTAGGTATGAGGAGTGTTAGTGTAGAGCCTACTTTGGGACCAGAGAGAAGGGGGAGTTTTGGGACATTAGTAGCCAGAGTAGCTAAAAGAAATCAGAAAGCTATGTCAGAAAGATGGGCCAGTATACAACTGCACAAGGGTGCTGAGACTTACGTGTAAGCTCATAAAAAACTGACACCAACTAGAAAATTAGAGAAGGAGAAAGGTTTTCAGTTCAAAAGAGGTTCATGAGCAGGAACAGGTAGCAGGCTGGCAGGCAGGGTGATACGTAAGTGGGTAGTCAGAGGAATCTAGGTGAGACATTATATGAACCTGGCAAAGACAGAGAAAGAAATAATAGTTGCAAAGAACTTAATTCTTAGAGATGTGCAGGGTCTGGTGATAGATTTTGTATAGAAGGACACCAGAGGCAGCAAAGGTCTTTCCAGTATCCCTGGTTGCACATTGGTGGATGGCAGTTTCTGCTGAAGTGGGGAAAAGACTAGATGTAGTAAATAACTCAGATCAGGGTATTCTGTCCTATGCCGAAACACAATTGACAAAAACTTCAAGAATAAAATCAGTAATATGTGCCTCAGTTTCTCAAAAATAGTTTATTTATTATTATTATTTTTTATTTTTATTTTATGTGTATGAGTATATTGCCTGGACGTATGCAAGTGCACCCATGTTGTACAATGCTTACGGAGGTCAGAAGAGGGCATCGGGTCCCCTGGAACTGGAATTATATATGGTTGCTAGCCACCATATGGGTACTGGGAATCGAACCTGGGTCCTCTGCATGAGCAGCCAGTGCTCTTGACATCTGAGTCATCTCTCCAGCCCCTTCTAAGAGTCTGTGTGTGTGTGTGTGTGTGTGTGTGTGTGTGTGTGTCTGTGTTTCTGTGTGTCTCTGTGTGTCTCTGTGTGTGTGTGTTTGAGACAGGGTCTCTCTGTAGCCCCTGTGTGTGTGTGTGTGTGTGTGTGTGTGTGTGTCTGTGTTTCTGTGTGTCTGTGTGTGTCTCTGTGTGTGTGTGTTTGAGACAGGGTCTCTCTGTAGCCCTAGCTGGCCTAGAACTCACCATGGAGGCCAGGCTGGCCTTGATCTCATAGAGATCTCCCTGCCTCTGCCTCCGAAGTGCTGGAACTAAAGGCGTGTGCCACCATGCCTGGCTAGTGACTCAGTTTTGTTGAGGGGGGATGGGGCAGTGCTGGCAACGAAGCACTCACCATGGACAGCGGCTCCATAACATTTGAAGATTTAAGCTCCACAGGGAGGGGGGAACACATTGATACCCTGGCACTAAACTAATACAAGGAGCTTGCCCTGCCTGACCTTTAAAAGACTCTAAAGTATGGCAGGTAAGAGGAGAATGGGTGTGTGGCTGTCACAGTAGGGAAGCAGCATTGTCCAGAGTCCCTGAGGTTGGGGAGTGGGAGAGGGCTTCTAGGGTCCCTGGCGTTGAGGAGGCATGCTTGCTTTCATCTTGGCTGGAGTGGGCTCTCCTGAGGAGGGAGGATCCATGCCCCCGTAGCTGTTCTGTTTGTGCAGAGGGCAGCTGGCTGTTCAGTGCTGTATTTACTGTTGGCCCTGAAGTTCATGGAGATCTGACTAATGGTAATCGATTCTAGTCAGAAGAAAAATATACTTTTTTCTTTTCTAGAGATAATATAGCCATCAGAAATTCCTCCTGATATTATTGATAGTATCCATGTTAAATAAAAAGACAATTTTAGACTCACTTCTGGGTCTTGTTGCTATCAGAACATAGAGTTATGGTTCATATTCTGAGAACAAGTTGTTAGCAATTTTTCTCCCATCTCTGTGATGAGGTGTCTTGGGGCTTGAGTGACTTGGGCCTTCATGGAGTCTGTGAATGGAGGCAGAAATAGAGACAGCCAGTGGGGTGAGAGGAGCTGTTTCTGTGGCATCCAGGGAAGGACTTGACCTTTGGCCTACAAGCTATGACCATGAATATCCCATATGTTCCAGGACTCACCACTCCCAGGAGATAAAGGACCACACAGTTCAGGAGACAAGTACCCACGACATCACAGTAAAACCCCTACCTCAGTCAGTTCTCTGCCAGTCAAGGAACTACCATTGTTTTCTGAAATGTTTCTACCCCTTTAGATACATGGGTGCCAGAAGCATTTTAGAGAAGAAAGCTCCTTCCCTTTCTGCAGGATTTTTGGATGTTCAAAGGCAATATAGCCAGCTCAGCTGAGGCCTTTGTGATCAGCATCATCCCCCTCCCCGTCTTCTTGAGACTACACGTCTACATGATTTTGTATTAACACACTCTTGAAAAAAACTCAAATATTTATGTATTTAGATCTTTGCAGTATAAACTGATATAACGTGTGATTATCAGC